AATATTTAAATAAAATTAACTTGTGATGATCACATCTTAATTAAATAAGAACGAAAATGACCATATCTTATGTATTTTGAAATCGACGACTAAAAGTAGATAAAATAAACATAAGTGATAATCCGTGTAGTTAAACCAAAAAGAGAAAATAATCTCAGTGACAAAAAATGTCTTATAATATACTATTTTAACCAACTTTTTTTGGATTTGCCAAAATGACCAACTAAATCGTAATGCGATCGATAATTCGCAACGCGATCTCCGGTATCACAAATCAGTTTCCAGATTCGCAACGCGAACATCGACTATCGCAATGCGATTTTCCAAATTCGTTGCGATAGTCCAAGTTCGCGTTGCGATTTATTCCAAATTCGCGTTGCGATAGTCCAAGTTCGTTGCGATAGTCGAAGTTTGCGTTGCGATTTATTCCAAGTTCGTTGCGATGGTCAAAGTTCGCGTTGCGATTTATTCCAAGTTCGTTGCGATAGTCGAAGTTCGCGTTACGATTTATTCCAAGTTCGTTGCGATAGTCGAAGTTCGCGTTGCGATGTATTCCAAATTCGTTCCGATAGTCGAAGTTCGCGTTGCGATTTATTCTAAGTTCGTTGCGATAGTCCAAAATCGCAACGACTAGTGGTATTGCATTTGTTTCTTAAGAATTCTCTCTAAAAAGATAGTATTCACGCGAACGTGTCGAATACACGTATTACCAAGACCACGACCACGACCCGAGACGACCCGAAAAGAGACGAGACGAGACGGACGGCGACGGCACGCGAGAGTCCTCCTTGTTCTCTATCACTCAACAAGGAAGTGGGAAAGCCAAGCCTTAAATACCATTTCCCAATAGTATTTCCAATACTATGTGGGATTGAGCATTACCAACACTTGTTCCCAATACTATGTGGGATAGAGCCTTAAATAGTGATATTATTTGTGAATTATAGTTAATGATTTTAATATTTGTATGAAAAGTATTTGTGGTTCGTTTAGTTTTCATGCAATTCTAATTTATTTTCAATTGATTGTAATTGCACGATAACAATTTTTTTTATTCTCGCGAGTGATGCAAGTTTTTTTTTGAATGTTTTGCTTAAAATTGCAATAATCACGATTGATTGTAGATTGGCTTTTAATTATGACATATTTAATCGTATAATACTAATGCAATTGGTTGTTGATTCAGTTATTTTAAGGTGCATGATTGTTAATTGTTTCCTGAATAATCACATAGTATTGGGAACAATGGTTGGTAATGCTCAATCCTACATAGTATTGGAAACACTATTGGGAATGGTATTTAAGGCTTGGCTTTCCCACTTCCTTGTTGAGTGATAGAGAATAAGGGGGACTCTCGCGCGCCGCCGCCGCCGCTCGTCTCGTCTCGGGTCGGGTCGTGGTCGTGGTCGTGGTCGTGGTAGTTGCGAATCTGAAAACTGATTTGCGATACCGGAGATCGCATTGCGAATTATCGATCGCATTTTGATTTAGTTGGTCATTTTGACAAATTCAAAAAAAATTGATTAAAATCGTATATTATAAGACATTTTTTATTACTGAAATTATTTTCTTAACCAAAAAAATTATATGAAACGCGTTGGCTGGGGGGTTCACGTCGGAATCCGTGTTGAAAGTTGCCACGTCAATCATTATCTTATCTGTTTTTTCACTTTATAATTCTTTTTATTGTTATTTTTTTATTTCGTCTAATTATTGTTGATGGAAAAAATACTTTGGATTAGACATTTGACCATAAATCCCGATAGTTGCTTGCATAATGAAATTCCAAAGGTTAACTTCATTATGCACCCCTAAACTATAGGAGAATTTCTACATTAATCCTTTAATTTCAAAAAAAAATTATTAAGCCGTCCAATTAATGTCTTCCTATAAATTTAATTGTCACTTTACTTTTAATTGCCGGTTTAACTATGATGTGTTTAAAAATAGAGTAAATTATATAATTACTCGTTGAATTTTACTCTCTTTCATTCATTGAATTTTTGAATTGCTCTTGTTTTGATCACTCTGGATTATTTTATTATTATTTATGTATGATGTGACATCTTATTATTAATATTTAATATGAAAAATAATTTAAAATAAATATAAAATAATATTTTTTTATTATTAAATTTAAAAAGACTTAAAATAATCATCACCCGCCATCGACCTTTAAAACAATAATAAGATTATTTTTATATTAAATAATAATAATAAAATATCATGTCATATGAAAATAATAATAAATAATTCAAGGTGATCAACACATAAGCAATTCGAAAGTTCAGTGAGTAAATTAAAAAAATTAAAAAACAATTAATGAAATAAGAAAGTAAAGTTTAGTGAAAAATAGTGTAGGTTACCTTTATTTTTTTTTTGAATTAATCACTAGTATCCGATCTATTGATCGACTAATTCAGATTGGGTAATGCAGAGGCGAGAGCGATCCTCTCAACCCAGTTTGCTTCATTCACAAACGCCAGGATTTGAACCGCTGAACTTATTTAAGGGACTTAATGCCTCATCCCACTAGACCAACTGGTTGTTGGTAAAAATATTATTAATCTATAAGTTTTAAAGAAATAATCTTGTCAAATTCAAACTAATTTAATGCTAAAGCTGATGGATAAACTAAAACAAATTATTATATTTTAGTTTAAAAATTCAATATGTAACGCATAATAACTATAAAAATATATATATTTTACAATATATATATATATATATATATATATCACAAAATATTGACGTCTAACTTAAAACACAAACGATCCAATTGAAATTTCTAAAGTTAGAAATCCAAGGTGACAACTCCGGATTGGACGAGAGCAAATGTGGGCCAAAAGAAAGAAACTCCATTGATATATTCATTTCATGAAAACAAAATCAAAATTAAAAGGTATATCAGTGGGTTTTTTTTATTATTATTAAAGATAAGGTGATCACAAAGTAGTATCTGTTCTAAATATTAACAATCATTTGATAATGAACTCTCAATCACCCTTGTTACAGCTGTTGGTGCTCGAACCCGTGACCTCTAGGAAAAACTACGATTTCTTTAATCGCTGAGATACGTTCGTTCGTGCAAGTATAACTGTGGTTTTAGTCTCTGCTATGTGTGAAATTTACTTATATTATTATAGTTCCAAATTGCAAGCATTTTTAGTTTATTGTCCCTTTTTTTTATAGTACGAGATAATTATAATATATATTTGTTTAAAATCTTTTTTCGCTATTAACAACATGTATACACACTACAGACGTAACTGTTCGAACTCAAGATCTAATAATAATAATATTATAAATTCACAACTTTAATTGAGAATTTATAATTAATATAGGAATTTATAATTAGTATAGTTTCTTTTTAATTAAGAATAAATATATCACAGTTAAAAGAATAATTTACAAGTTTAGGGTACACTGAATTATTTTAAGTAGTCATTTGCTTTAATCATCAAAGTATACAAATTAACTATTAAGGGATAAAACAGAATCACACAAAGAATGTGTTAATAACTCGACCAAAAAACTTAAAAAGCTTATGGATATAAACAAATATCAATATCTACGATAAAAGAAAAACATTATCTATAGTAACATAAAAAATATATATAACAATAATGGCACGTTAATAAATTAATTTTATTACAATTCGACCACATCCAATTATTGATGATTGTCAACCCTACTAATAAAAAAAAAGAATAAACTTGACGGTCCAAAATAGGGATAGATCGACAATTAAACACCAACTGGGGATACAACATCAAATCAAACCCTAAAAATCTACGACTTACTACAAGAACAAATAAAGGTTACATAGGACTAAAATGAAGTGAACTTTATAAGAAAATAAAATTTTTGAAGAATAAATCACTAATCAGTTTTATTTATGTCTTGATTAATTTGAATCGACATGCATCATATATCTGATTATGGTGGATGAGTCTTCCAGCAGGGATTTTATGCATACACAAAGATTCAAACCCGAGACATTGCTTAAGCGATATCAAACTGCTTACCACTTAAACCAACCCCCAGTTGGTACTAATCAATTTTATTAAAAAAAGGTCGTAATATCTTCAAATAAGACCAACTGAATTTCTATAGAGTAGCGATATTAACCAGTTCGTCTAGTGGAACGAGACACTAGATCCCTTAAGCAAGGTCATGGGTTCAAATCCTGACGATTGCAAATGGAGTAAACTGGGTTAGAAGGGTCGACCTTGCCTCTGTAATAACCGATCCGAATTAATCTATCAATAGATCAAATACCCGTGGTTATACCAAAATTAAAATATTAAATTACTGCTAACAATCTGCCTTACCAACTCTTTCTAATAGAACACATCATGATATAAATGTACAATAAATCACAAAGTTCAATTGTGCGTTTCATTGTACACCAACTTTCACCTAGACTTCCTTATCTCTAAACATATTTCAAATGTTAGTTTACCTATGTGCAAAAGAATAGTAGTAGCAAGCAAAACAAATATTACGTTCAACAAATAAAAGTTCATGTATTAGATAATAATTTGTTATATTATTAACAAATTATTAAAAATAATATTATAAAACAAGCATATAATATAATAGATGAACTAGTTAATACGGAATTTCTTTATAATGTTATTCGGGCATATAATTAAGATTACGTGAACATTAATTCAATCACGTTAAATTAATAACAAATTTACATATTAATCTAATATTTAAAGCTATTTAAAAAGTTTCAGATCACCACTTTAGAACCAACAAAGTTACAACTTTGGATCTACTAATGATATTATAAAAGTAAAAGGACTAAACTAAAATAAAATGATTAACAGAGAGGAGTAAACCAAAATTAATCCAAATCAAATAAATACGTAGTAAAAAGAAGAATTCCACTGTTTGATTGATCGTGAAACATATTGAATGATAATGACGTGAAATGATTCCTTGTTTTTATATGAATACCACGGCAAATTTGTAGTTTACCCGAGCGGACATTCACGACCAAGGCCGGGGCGCAACCTTTCTTCCACGTCAATGAATCAATCATAAAAGTCCATCCACCATTGAAGCAGAAATCTGGTTCAAAAACTCGTTGCTTGCTTGCTGCGTTAGTAATGATAATCTTTTAGAGTTCGTTGATAGGCCGAGTTTTATTAAATAGCTCCGGTGGATAGCGAAAGCGACGCAGTGTTGGCAAAAGATCCGGCGGTTCGGCGAAAAAAATGTTATTTTTCCCTCATTAATGTCCTCTGACCCTCTCTCTTAAAAGCTCGTGCCATCATTCATTCTTTTTTCTTTTTTTCTCTAGAAGCAGACAACTACCCTTTTTAGCATGTTAGCTACTTGGCTTAATCTTGAAGATTAGCGTTTATAAATCCTACGTTTTTTCTGTTTCTGGACTTAATCACATGCAGTTCAAATTAATCTTTTTTATTGGTAAGTTATTAATTTTGGGTCGGCGGTAACAAAGGAACAACATCGAGTGCAGAATCATAGCTCGTGATTGGAGGTAAGAATTTACGAAGAAGAAGACGAAGAAAAAGTTCAATTATTTTTTTCATTTTGGTAGTAACGGTAATGGAGAACATAGAAATCTAATAGTTTTATTTTTATTGTATTATTTTCAGAGACTTAGCCTTTAAAGAGCTTCATGAGGATTAATTAGCTTTCACATTACCGATGGAAGCTCAAAGAAATGGGCTACCAATTTTGTTTATAGCTGTAATCTTGTTCTTGATCCAGTGCGTGGTAGCTCAGGGAGTTTCGATAAGTTCTCAAATCGAACGGTGGGCATTGCTCGACCTTCGGTCATCGTTGGGTCTCCGAGCGAAAGAATGGCCGATCAAGGCGGACCCTTGCACATCGTGGTTCGGCGTCCAATGTCAAAACGGCACCGTCAGGAACATCACCGTTTCCGGTTTAAGAAGAACCAGACTCGGACGGCTGAGCCCCCGGTTCAATGTCGATTCTTTGGTTAATTTGACCCAATTAGTTTCTTTCAATGCTTCCGGCTTCCCGCTTCCCGGGTCAATACCCGATTTGTTCGGAAGCCAGTTGGTCCATCTCGAGGTTCTTGATCTCCGATCATGCAATGTCTCCGGTTCTATCCCTGCTTCACTCGGCAACTCGAGTCGACTCACTTCTTTGTATCTTGGTAATAACAATCTTGCTGGTTCTATTCCTTTGGCACTGGGACAGTTAAGCAACTTAAAATTTCTTGAACTTTCGGGAAATTCGCTTACTGGGTCAATTCCTTCAAGTTTTGGGTCTCTTGCAAACATTGAAAGGCTTGACCTTGGTTCAAATTACTTATCTGGGCCAATTCCTCCTGGTTTAGGTTCTTTAAAAGGTCTTCGAGTGTTTAATGTCTCGGATAATAATCTCTCTGGCTCAATTCCTTCTCAATTTAGTAATCTTTCTAGGTTGCTTGAGCTTGATCTTAGTAAGAATTCTTTGTATGGGTCGTTGCCTAAGGAATTTAAGATGTTAAAAAGTTTACAAAAGGTGGTGATTGAGGACAACATGCTAGCTGGACCTCTGCCTGTTGATTTGTTTTCAAGTCTTATCGAATCGCAAGTTGTGGATTTGAGTGGTAATAAACTTGATGGAGTTCTTCATGGTACATTTTGGTCAATGCCTAATTTGTGCTTCTTCGATGTATCGAGTAACAATTTTACAGGTCCTCTGCCTGCTCTTAGTTCTAATCACACTGTTTCTATGGCTGCTGTGTTTAATCTGTCGAATAATTTCTTTTATGGCACTTTGAATTTTTCACTTGGGAGGTTCAAATCCATTGATATATCGGATAACTATTTTCAAGGTAAGGTAGTTGACACCAGTGGAAGAAATGTCACTGTTGATAAGAATTGCCTTCAAGCACTGAACCAGAGGAGTTTGGATGATTGTAGGCTGTTTTATACAGAAAGAGGGCTAAGATTTGATAATTTTGGGGAAGGAAACATAATTCAGCCTCGTGCTGCAGAATCTCGTTCTGAGAGCCGAAAAAGATGGATATTTATCTTGGCAGGAGTATTTGGTGGAATTGGCTTCGTCGTAGTTTTGGTATTGGTGCTAGTACTGCTCTTGAGACGGTATGATAAGGGCATTAGGAATCAAAGAGGGAGTGGCAATATAGGGCCAGTTCCGGAAGGAGATAGCTCTCAACTTCCTAAAGATCCTGCAAATGTAGATGGCTCTGGAGATCCATTTACTTACGAGCAGTTGCTCCAAGCAACTGCTAATTTTAGTGGTACGAACCTTATTAAGCACGGCCACTCAGGGGACTTATTTCTTTGTGTCCTGGAAGGTGGTATCAGTGTGGTCATTAAAAAGATCAATTCAAGCTCTTCCAAGAAAGAACTGTACATGACAGAATTGGATTTATCCAGAAAGCTTTCTCACGCGAGATTTGTCCCTCTGTTGGGGCATTGCTTGGAGCATAAAACGGACAAGCTTTTGGTCTACAAGTATATGCCAAATGGGGATTTGGCCAATTCATTTTACAGGGCTACCAACTCAGATGATGATAGTTTGAAGTCCCTGGATTGGATTACGAGGTTGAAAGTCGCTACTGGAGCTGCTGAAGGCCTGTACTACTTGCACCATGAATGTAACCCTCCCCTTGTTCACAGGTATTCGATGCTACAAACTATAAATCTCAAAATCTGGGACTAGAATGTGACTCTATATAATAGCATTTTGAATTTGTTGCTCACCTTATCTTTCAACTAGCTTTATCGTTTCCTTTTCAATATCAATCTTTAATGCTGTATTACTTTGTGGTTAAAGGGATGTTCAAGCAAGCAGTATCCTTCTTGATGATAAATTTGAAGTGAGACTTGGAAGCTTGAGTGAAGTTCATGCCCAGGAGGGGGATACACACCAAAGTGTGCTCACGAGGTTGCTTTGGAAGCCACAGTAAGTATTATACAAGTTACTCTATTTTTACCCTTTTGCCATATATTTGCCAGGATAGTTTAAAAGTTTATTTATTCGCTTTCTCTAGTAATTTTATATATCCGTTCGTTTTTAAAAAAAAAAATCAATTATATTTATTGTCCGTCTCTTGTCTATGTGTTGTCTATTCTTTTCTATCATCTGTGCTGCAATTGCTTTTAAACACATGGCTTTGCATGCTCCTTTTATATTTAGCACCTTTGATGCTAAAGATGACTCTTCTAGTCAGATGGACCAGTTCCATATATGATGTTGAATAATATAATCTCACTATTTGTGCTACACTTTCATTTGCCAGATTTAGTCTTCAACTTTGGTTTATGGCATTAGCACTGGATAAAAATTTATATCCATGGTGATCAGCCAGTCATACTGGATAAGAATTATAAACTATAAAAATCTCAAATTCTTCCCAAGGGCGATGGAGTGATGAAATAGGATTAGTGATGAACATATCTCAGCACACGAGATGCAACTTTGAAATTTGATCTCGATGTGGACTAATTAGATGTAAATTAATATGCATATGAGCAAGAGACAAGTTCTCTTTTCTGTTATTGTATCTTTTGTTCGAAGATATAATGAAATCCCCTTTTCGATGTGCAGGACCTCTGAACCAGGCCCCTCAGGTTCAGGTACGTAAAAGTTCGATTTCGGGGTTGTTAATATTCACTATTCTGGGGATTCACTTCATTGATTATCATTTATGTGTATCTTTCAGCCAATAATACTATATCCTTTCTTAAGAAACACCAAAACAAATATATCCTAGCCCTTTTTCTGCAGCCATGACATTTTTGACAGTAGATCATAATTTTTATATGATTCTTTGGAAATGGACAGGCTCTGCTTCAGCTACTAGCGCTTATGACGTGTATTGTTTCGGAAAGGTATTACTAGAGCTTATAACAGGGAAGATTGGCATCAGTAAAGCAGAAGATGCATTTACGAAGGAGTGGCTAGAGCAAACCTTGCCTTGCATCAGCATATATGAAAAGGAATTGGTGACTAAGATCATGGACCCATCATTGATTGTAGATGAGGATCTACTGGAAGAGGTATGGGCAATGGCTATTGTGGCAAGGTCATGCCTTAACCCAAAGGCTTCAAAAAGACCCTCAATGAAACATATACTCAAAGCATTGGAAAACCCTTTGAAAGTGGTAAGGGAGGAGAGTTTCAACTCTGTGAGGCTAAGAACAACTTCGTCGAGGCGATCTTGGAGCGCCGCGTTCTTTGGTAGTTGGCGGCAGAGCTCATCAGAGAGTGCCACCATTTCAGGCCACCAAAATAGAGAAGGTGTTGGTGGTTTCAAACAGTCGGGTAGAGTAGGGTCTCATGGCAGCGGGGGTATCGAGCACTCACCTTCACGTAAAAGGTTATCGAATGAAATTTTTCCTGAACCGGTCGAAATACAAGACATGGAGAGGTTAGATGAAAACTAGTTGATAAAAGGAGTGTTTGCCAGTGTGTTAATGAGTTTTAAAGGGGTTATGTTAAGTGCCTGTTCGAACATTGAACCCCTTTGTTTCTAGTCGTACACGCTCGGGTTCGAAGGCAGTCTTAGGAAGAAATCTTACGAGCGATCCCGTCTGGTGGAGCTGATGCCTAACCGCAGCCGAAGCCAGCCATGGAGATGAGAGGGGAGACTATACAGGGAGTGAGATTTTTTATGATATTCGAAGCTTGTTTTGTAATCTATTTATCATAACCAGGCAATTGTTATTGTAATTGGCACTTTCTCTTGCATATCCGATCATATATAGAGTGTAAAATTGCAGATGATTCGATTGAAACGTACCATTTCGGCCATAAACTGGTACTATGCTGAAGTTTCATTCCGATCAAAATGATGCCTTACAGCAGTTTCAGTCCATTTCTGATAATATTATGTGTACCTACCAATTTCGATTAGTACATATTTTAATAAATTTTAAAATATTTTAATCATTTCTATATAATTACATTTAAAATACAATAATTTTAAATTTATATTTGTATATAAATTCTTGGATTAAGGGGTAAGTTGCTTGATATTACTTTAAGTAATGTCCCAAGAAAGACTCGATCGCTTACATTGAACTAAATATCACGTCGCTTCAGATCAACATCAGACTTTTGCCTATCAAAAGCAGCCTTAAGCCTGTCTCGAATCAATATTATAGCAGTTCCCTCGGTCTCCTGAATAGGATCAGGTCATACAACCCTCCTCTCAGATAACTCAATCCAACATAACGGGAAACGACACCTACCATCATACAAGCTCTCGTACGATGCCATATGAGTAATGGTCTGATAAATGTTGTTGTAAGCAAATTCAGCTAATGACAAGTGATCCTCTTAACTGGCCTGAAAATCTATAATGTATCCTCTTAGTATATCCTTTAAAATCTGAATAACTCGATCAGATTAACCATTAAATTGTGGGTGATAAGCCGTACTGAAATTGATACATCTGTTAAGTATTTTTATTCATTTCACGTGGAGAAAATACACTTGACTTAATACGTCGTACAATAATATTTATCTAAAAAAAGTGGACAGGATTTCATATGCAATGTTGCCATCAAATTGCGGAAAAATATTTTTTTATATTATCACTACAGCATCAGCAAAAGCAAATCACAGGCAGAAAAATAAATGAAATAAATATAAACTTTTAAATATTTTTTCAACTAGAGTAATATTTACAGTGCTTAAGAATGATGTCGGGATTGCATGACAACCATGCTACTAAATTACGGCCGTAACACAGAATAACAGTCGCATCATAATTGGTGTGAAGGTAATCGCAACGTAATATTAACACAATGTGATAAGAGAATCACATCACGACTTTTACGGTCTAAACCCGTTACATAACACCGCAATAAGTAAAAAAAATTACTCCGCAATGAACATCCAAATTGTTCTAAATATAAAATTACATGGATAAAATACTCGAATATTTTGATTTAACAAAAAAAATTAGTTGACTCTATTCCTATATATAATAGGGTAAGGGGAGGTAGGGTGGTAGGTTGTCCCAACGTCAGGTTGAGAGCAACTTCCGTGAAAGACCTCTGTTATGAAATACCCTAATTTTTTTTACTGTAAGAATATACATTAAACAATAGTTAATATTAAAATATTAAAATATGAATGTAAAATATATGAATATAATATTTTAGAAATAATGTGATTTTTTAAAATTAAATCACGCTCATAAAAGCTGTTATAAATTACGTAATATTCGTAACATCGCAACCGTAATTTAATATTGTGATGACGATTTGGAGAAAGACGATTGAAGGACATGATATCTTTTACAAGACAAGCTCTATGCATGATAAATTTGAAACATAAGTGACTCGAGTCATATATAAAGATTAAAAGACGTCATGTTGTCTTATCATCTTTTCTAAAATTATCCATCAATGTCAACATATTTTTCAAATATTATAAAAATGATCCTAATTGAGAAAATTTAAACTCAGGTACAATACACAAATTGAGTAATTCACCGGGTTTGTCCGCTGTATTTTCGTTTTTCTGAGAATTTGTCCGCTGTATTTTCGTTTTTCTGAGAATTTGTCCGCTGTAAAATAAGAAAGATGGGCTCAACTTTTATTCACGATCCACCAAACGACGGCAAGTGTCTGTTCATCGTTGTTGTTTTAGTGGTTGGGGTGGAATCGGAGAATTCGGATCAGAGGAATTGAATTCCCTCCCTTTTGATTCCTCTATTAACCAACATGGATAATCCACTTTCGATTCCGATTCCAGATTTCTGTTTAATGTTGTTCATATTTCCCTTTTCCCCAAACTAAGGGATTTGTTCAATTTGAGTTGTGTGTGTCTCTTCCTCTTGTTTTCGGTTGCAATCTCATCACATTTCCAATATTTTTCCTAATAGGAATCAGATTCCCAGCCTTTTGTCAATTCCACTTTAACTTCTTTGCACATTCATCCTCCAGATGCCTATTTAATTCCACCATGAGAATTCCCAAGAAGCCCGTTGCCTTTTGCCTCTCCATCTTCTCCCCTGACTTTCCCGCTCCCTGTTGCTCCCGTTTTCTTCGCTTCTCCACTGGATTTCCCGCCAAAATTAAACCCATCTACGCTGCAGGTTACTACCTCATCTTTCGTCCTTTTTTAATTTTTTTTATTTGTTCGTCATGTTGCATTTATCATTTGCATTTTGGAGTTCTTTTTCCCATTGGTTTGGTTGTTTTGATTGAGGTTAGGGAAGTTGTTTGTTTACTTTGGTGTAAACTTTGGGGGAATAGAATGAAGTTCATTTAGTTGGAATTGGATTAGTTTTGATTGGGAAAATTGGATTTAGGCGTTACTTGGCGCATATGTTGGAAGATTCTTAGGCTTGGAACTTAACGTGGTGCGCTGTTTGGTCTTTTGATTTGACTTCTGAGGTAAGATGTCAAGGTTTTTGCCTAACTGTCTCTAGGAAATCTTGCTGTTTATTTTCCTTAATTATTAACTTTCTTTTTTCTTTTTCACGAGAAGAAAAGTCTACATGAAGCACTCGAGTTCATACTAATTTGTTCAGTGTAATGCATTATGCATGATGCTATGTGCAACCAAATAATATGGGTAGTCTGGCTGGTATGTATAATCTAATTCTTGCATTCTCATAAGAATCTAACGCAATTGTTAAAGATGACATGAGCTTTGAGTTATGAATATGCCGCTGATTTTAATAATTAGACTTTATGCTTTCTCAGTTAATAATCCCGTGTGTTTATCATTAAAGGCAGAGTTATGTTCATTCTACTTATGCACTGCGAATGATATTCATTCTTCTAGGTCATGATTATGTGGTTTGTATGAGACGTGTTAATGGAACAGGAAATTGATTTGAGATCATTTTACCATCAATGATAACCCCCTTTTCTCACTGCTAATCTATTCAGGATTCAACAATCCAAACTCTCGCTGTTCAAAGGACCATAGTGCTGGGACCATGTTAGGTGACAAAGCATCACAATCTGATCTCATGGCCAATAGCAATGGTGGTGAGGAACCGAATGTATGGTCGTCACATGAAGTCGGATGTAAAATTGATATAGGAAAACAAATTTTCTGCAACAGGTCACTGAATATGAGGAATATTGTTGCTGTTGGATTTGATATGGATTATACCTTAGCTCAATACAAACCTGAGACTTTTGAGTCTCTTGCCTATGAAGGCACAATCCGAAAATTGGTATATGATTTGGGCTATCCTCAGGAGGTTTGTCGACTTTCTATAATTGTAAATCCATACGAGGAATAATGTTGCCAAACTTTGTGTGATGTGTAAAGTCATGCTTATAGTGATAAAATTTCATGCAGTTACTAGCATGGACGTTCGATTCAAAGTACATGGTTAGAGGCTTGGTTCTAGACAAAAAGAGAGGCAACATCTTAAAGGTTGACATGTTTTTCTGCTACTGTTCTCCCTAGTCAGCTTGACTTAATAATTGTCTCTCTCTCTCACACACTTTCTAAATCATCAACTCTGCTTAACTATGATTTGTGTCATGTGATGGTCATGTTTTTTAACAGATGGATAGACATAAGTATGTTAAAGTAGCATACCATGGGTTCAGAGAGTTGTCCAAAGAAGATAAAGTTGGCACCTATGGGAATACACTCATACGGGATTCTTTTGATGAGCCAGACTATGCCCTTATTGATACACTCTTTTCACTAGCTGAAGCATACTTATTTGCTCAACTTGTTGACTTTAAGGACAATAATCCTGGAAAAGTTCCGGAGGGAGTTGAGTAAGAAATTCAACTGATGCTTCAATAATTTTATAACTTATCTACAAAAAACCAAATAATGTTTGGAGAGTTGCAGTCAATTGGGCTTCCATTTGTTTGTCAATTGGAGAGTAGCACGTCTTGGTTGAAATTTTTCTATGTAGTTGTTGAACGGTAATATAAAAACATGTTCAGTGGTTTGATGTTCAATTATAACATTAGGTACTTAAATAAATCCTGATTCCTTTTATCAGGTTTTTATATTGAGAAAAGTTTACTATCAATGATGCTTTCAGTTATGCTCGCATGTACAAGGATGTTCGTGCTGCTGTTGATTTGTGTCACCGTGATGGAACTTTAAAGCAAATGGTTGCAAAGGATCCTAAAAAGTATGTTAGACAATGACATTAATTTTTATAATTTTAGATTACGACTAAATTTAAGAATTGTTGTTAGTCAATCCCTATTTTGATTTGAATGAACTGGCGAAATGGAGCTGATTTTTCTTTGTGTGAACATGTTATAATAATGCATTTTAGAATGCAATTTTTTGGACCTTTTTTATTTATTGTTATCCATTTCATTGTCAGGTATATCAATGAGGACACCTCTATAGTACCAATGTTCAAAATGCTAAGGGATTCTGGCCGTGCAACATTCTTGGTGACAAATAGGTACATATCTCTATGATTTCAAATCTTAATTGTTTAGGCGTGAAGGGTAGCATGGGTTTCGATGCAAAATTTCTAGTCCTTTTTTCATTTCAAACAGATTTTGCCCAATGTTGGAAGTTTATGGCGTGCATGCTATATATGGCTTCACTTCTGTAGTTGGGAGTTCATTGGGGTTTTTGCATTTTAAAAGAACGTGTGTATATGCATCCTTATGTTATCATATCTGACTTCCATTTTCCAGAGGCTGTTTGAACAATCAGTTAATAATTGACATCTCTTGCAGTTTATGGGACTACACAGATATTGTAATGAACTTTCTCTGTGCGTCCTGTACATTGGATGGTAGCTTAACTTGCAATTTTGATTGGC